CAGAAAATTGTGAAAACTTTACACATCCTCAGGAGGATCTTACCCCAAAAACAGCCTCTGAAGAGTCAGCAGGCCCTGGATGCAGTGTACTACTACACAACAGAGTGACCTGTTACTCACCTGCTGGGTGTAGCATTTCAGTGAACTACATGTTCTTAAAGCAATTATTTAAAAGTGCTGATCATCTGTTAAATAACTCAAACAAATCAGGCTCTGGCTATGTTCTGGGTGGTGTATTTAGCAACTCCACAAATCCCAGAATCCTGCAAGTCACTTCATAAATCTGTGACTCTCCTCACTGTTACCTCACCGAAGATGAGTGAGCCAGGAATAAAATGTTTTGGTGATGGAGGTTTTTAGGGTGAGGCCAGCCAAGGCAAAATTTTCTACTTCCTTCTTTCCCCACCTCCGTGTGCTGGCCAATAACAAGTCATGGTCAAAAATAAAGAAGAGTAAAAATGAATGGACAGACCAATGTTAAAAAGTAAAATATTGCAGTGGAAACGCTGAGAAAAGTTTCTATCCCACATCCAGGCATTTCAGCAAGTGCAGCAGAGGACACAAGCTGAGGTTCCTACACATTGTATGAGCTTCTGGGAAATACAGATACTTCAGTCCTTGACAAAAATCCTTAATTCTCTTGATCTGGTAACAGTTCCCAGAAGCAAGCATAGATACAAAAGCTTATCTATCAGACGACAACTTGAAACAAATACAAATAAGGCTTAAATGAAGGCAAATATCCAAGCTGCAGAGAACACAACGGTTCCTTAATTTCACATTTGGAGAAAAAACAATACTATGTGGACATTCTCCAACATATTTTTAATGTTATTAACAGAAATAGCACCCCAGGCTGTGCTCAAGCTGAAAAAGTGTGAAGCTGCTTGCAATGTGAAGTGAAAGGGGGATCAAAAATACCATCTTATTAAATGGCATTTATTTGGTGCTAAGTGAATTATTTATTCAACTGAGAAGTTCACAAAACGACAGGGGGGTAAATGCAAGCGAGGTCACTACTTCATGTCAGTATCAAAGCTGATCCTTAGCAGAATTTAAGCACCTGCTTTTTCTTTTATCTCAGCACAAAATGAGATTTCTTTCTTTTTTTTTTTACACTTCAAAAGCCATGTAACACAACAGAATATATGCCAAGCATGCAAAAACAGAGCATGCCAGCATCTTTCAGCAATCAGCTTTCCCTTGTCATCCATTATGCCAGATTTATCTATTTTTGCTTAATTCTTGCTCCAGCAATACGCATCCTTCCTCTCTCCAGACTATCAGGCTGGTTGGGCTGGAATTCAATACAGCTTCTTAAAATAGTTGAGAAATATTGAAAATATTTGAAGCGATGCCTGAGAATTACAGCCAATTCATCAACTCCTCTTCCAGCTCCTGCTCGACCTGTGCTCCCCCAGACAAGGGGCAATTCTCTTTTCTTCACCTCAGTAATTCTACCCAGTGTAAATATCATTTGGAAAACAAATAGCCTTTCTTTCATGGAAGCATTTCTCCATGAAAGCTTAGATTCTGTGCTAATTGCAAACCCTACCCTCTGACTCGCTTTTGATCTAAACCCTCCTCTGCTGAAAATTAATAGTGAATGCATTTGCTTTAAGTTTGCTTTCTGTTATCAATGCTTTTCATCTCCAAATTTCCAAACCCTCTGGACTGGCTTTACATGACACCAGATCCACCGAAAAGCTCTCCCTGAATCCTTCACTCTGCTGCTGGCTGCAAAACTCTGCTCTCCCCACCTCCAGTACCTGTAAGACATCTGAACAGCATCTTTCCCCACTGCTTTATGCACCCACTTAAATAAACAGACTCCAACTAAAGCTCAGATTCTTAAAAAGACCTGATCAGAAAAAAATAGGCTGAAAGGAAAATGCAACTCTCATCACTCTATTCCCTCACTGTGGAGCACAGAATTTTCTCAGCCGGCTGCTGAATCAGACGAAGTTTCCACAGTGCACACACACACAGAGTCACAAAGCCCCAACACGTCCAGGAGGATTTATTCCATCACAAAGTCACTACCCTTGCTCCAGCACAAATGACATCACTTAGGAACCCAGCCTTATCTCCTGAGAGCTCCCAGCTCCCTCCTCTCCCGCAGCGACCGGAGCAACAAAGAACAGGGTTTGTGCAATAAGGAGGGAAAAAGTATTGCTGCAAAAAGTTTTCCAGAAAAACTTGTATTTTCTTGAGAATGTGACTATGGAAAAATAAAGGACTGTAGTAAGAGGCGAGCAGAACGAATTCTGGTAGAACTAATCAACCTGCATCTGTGATTTAGCCTAAACTTGTACCAGTGCTACCAAGGGAGGGTGAGAGACGTCTGTGAGCCCTCGCAGGTGTTGGTCGGGGAGGTTCACACGCTGCAGCACCAAAACCATCTCAGTACTTGGCTGCACGAGTGGACTGAGAACTGGAGTCCAGCTCTGCAGTTTCCTTCTTCTTCTTCGTCTTCAGACACTTGAAAATGGGTTGGTAGGGAATAAAAACGGCGGATGATTTATTGACGATACCTGTTCCCTGCCCGTGGGAAAGACGCGCTTTGAGGTCCCTTCCAGCCCAAACCAGCCTGCGGGTCTCTTGCAAAAAGACACTTTTCTTGGGGAAGAATCACACAAAGGATGTGCTCGCACTGCGACCGCAATCCCCCCTTCCCCCTGACGGCACTTCTGTCGCGACGGCTGACGCGCTATCGCGATCCGGGCCGTGTGCGCGGTGCCCGGGGACAGCTAACGAGGCTACCGGGGCTACCGGCGGGTCTGGGAGCTCCGCGCTGAGCGGGGGACACCCCGGGGAGGCGCGATGGCAGCGACTGTCGCGACAGGCGGCGGGTGTCGCGACAGGGGGGCGGGTGGCCACACCGGCGATGCCCCAGCGGGCGGGGGGAGGGGACGCCCGGGAAGGACAATGGTGGTGGGGGGGTACGAACCGCGGCGGTCCCGCCGCGCTGTGAGCGGGAGGAGGAGGAGGAGGATGACGAGGCGGAGGTGACGGCGGGGCCGCGCCCTGTCGCTCCCGCCGCGTGCCGCACTTACTCTCGGTGCCCCTGCCCGGGCCTCATGGCGCCGCCGCCGCTGTGCCCGCCCGGCCCCGCCGCCGCCGCCGCCGCCGCCGCCCGCCCCGGCCGTGCTGGCTGCGCAGCCGCCCCCGCGCACGCGCGGCCCGCGCGCCGCCCGCCCCGCCCCGCGCACGCGCGGCCCCGCGAGCCAGGGAGGGGAGCGGGGGGGAATGGGGGGGGCAGCGCCGCGCCGCCCCCTGCCGGTAACCGGGGGTAGTGCAGGGGAGGGGGACACGGGGGGCACTGG